ATTATCTGACGCATGCAGATACACACCAGCAACCTGGAAACTTAAAAAATACTGAATTACAAAAAACCTTTAAATAAACATACATGTTTAATTGATATATATACAAAAATGAATATTAGGAACTATATTTATCAAACATTATACTGGGCAAGTAAAAATAGTTTCTGGGCAAATGAAATGTGAAAGCCACTTGCCCAAAGGTGGCTTTCAAACGCAAATGATATTAAGCTTTATTCATGGATTTATCGGGGAATGTGGCCTCGTTGTTGGGGCATTGGGCTTGGAATCCAGAGTTTCTGAGTTAAGTCCCACGGACTGCCACTCTGGGTCCCTGAGCAAGACCCTTAACCCCACACTGCTGCCCCGGGCGCCGCATAATGGCAGCTCACAGCTTCCCAAGGGCATGGGTTTAATGCAGAGAGTTTGATTTGTACTTTTGACAGTGTAATGACAAAAAAAAAAAAAAAAAGCTGACTCTATTCTATTAAATCGATTTAAAGTGTTATCAACACTGAAGTGAAATTAATTTACTGTCTAGCTTCTGTGTTGAGAGAACATCCACATAGATCTTCTTGTAACAGAGTACTCTAAGAACAAACTGTATAGCCACTAGTTTACCCTCAGCAGCATTTCTTATGTCTCCAGTACTTCTGTGCGGAATCTTGAAGTTATTTTTAACCAGGATGTGTCCTTTCACGTGCACATTAGGCCCCTCTCTAGGGCCTCATCATTTGCTTGCACATAAGTGTTAGAATTCGGAACATCTTGTTCCTGAATAAAACGTGCCCATGAATTTGTGTGGTGTCAACACTACTGAAATTTCTGAAAGGGACAGAAGGTCTAAAATGTTGCAGCAAAGTTTATTTTTTCAGGTTTTGCTTTTTTTTTGTGCTTTTTTTCTCCCTTCAAAACACAATTACAGTTTTTTTCCTGTCGTATTTCTTCTCGCCGGAGGTTGTCAGACTTTAATTCCCCTCTCTGGGTGTAGGATGGCAGTGGCACCCAGGCCACCCATCTTCTATCTGTACCTGCTCCTCTTGTGAGGTGTAGTGGAGTTGTTGTTATCCAGCAGGGTTTAAACAGTAATAGGAAGAGAGGGAAAGCACACCTTGGACAGGTCCCCAGTATATCACAGGGCAGCAAAGAGACAGGCTGGACAAAATCTCCCTCCTAAAGACAATATAAGGAGAGCGGTTATTCTAACAGTCTTGTTATAAACACTGTTGATGGAGCCACTCTTGCACATGAACAGAAAACAAACTCCATGTGGAAAAAAATTGACCTCAGGAACTTCCTGCTGCAAGGCAGCAATGCAACAAACTGCACCAGCATGCAGCCCTGCATCCAGATGCTCAATACTTGATGCTCAATTAGGATTATTTTGGGGGTGAAAGTTTTTTTTTCTTTGTCATTCATACTAACATTTAT